GAAATGTGTCAAATGGCGATCTTGGAGGTTTCGTTGACTAAAAATTGCATTTACTCTTTACTTTAAGCGTCCTGCAACTAAGAAAACTAAACTCTCGCTTGACATTAACTCCGTGACGGTGCTGTAGTAAGTGTATAGTAGTTAGCAAGGTCAGCAGGTGGCTCTGTAGGCTGTAGAGGGGAGCCGAGCAGGTGGACGCGTTTGTTTACGCCCTAATCTCGTCTGGGCGCTGGGCCTCCCTCACCCCTACGTCACTATCTCGCCTTATGTCCCACTAAAACTAAAATAAGACAGGACCGTTCCAGCCTCTGATAGTTCTAAACATATAACACGATACGGCCAATGGGCGGATAACATAAGCTGATATAACGCCCAAACACGAAAAACCTAGTTACAGTACTGTATAGAGTGTAAATTTAACTATGATAAATATGGAACGTTTATACCAAAAACATAGGTAGTCTTTAATCAGTTCTAAACATATAACACGATACGGCCAATGGGCGGATAACATAAGCTGATATAACGCCCAAACACGAAAAACCTAGTTACAGTACTGTATAGAGTGTAAATTTAACCATGATAAATATGGAACGTTTATACCAAAAACATAGGTAGTCTTTAATCAGTTCTAAACATATAACACGATACGGCCAATGGGCGGATAACATCTTACTAATATTATAAATAATGTGAAAGTTTGTGTGTTTGTTTGTTTGTTTGTTTGTTTGAAGTTCAATCACGCATAAACCACTGGGCGGATTGGGCTGAAATTTGGCATGATGATAGCTTACATTCCCAATTAACATATAGGCATGTTCTTATCTCAAAAATCCTTTCGGGCTCCGCCCCCAATTCCCCATGTTTTAAACCTTATGAGTATCCATATTTAAAGGGAATTAAAGAATTTAGTCGGCTGTTTCAACTAAAAAAGTTGGTTCTATGATAAATATGGAACGTTTATACAGAAAACATAGGTAATCTTTAATCAGACCGTCAGAAGAGATCCAAATCCCACAAAAACTCAAATAAGAAGAAGGTCCCTTAGTTGATATTGGCTGTATGGGCTATTAATTGACAGCTGTGCCTATTTGGCTTAAAAATAACTGACCTACATTCGTATAGTCGCCATTTCAGAATAAAGTAATTAAAATTATTAAAGGCAACGAGCCACGCTTGAGCGTTTCTGATAACAATCAAACAAATCACTATGTTTTAGATAAATCGCGTTAGCCCGTGAAGTGACGGCCCCAGGTGTGCTGTAGTCATCTTTTGTACTCTATTTACGGTGATTAGGCATTTCAGGCACCTCTCTTTGTCACTAAACAGGTGTTGGAACTGAGCTTGGGACACCGGATATTCCCTCATCCAGTTCTCATTTATAGTCTAAATAGTGTTTACAAGTTAGTAGTTTACAATATCGAATATTTGAAATAAATATACTTTTACTATGACGTTATCATTAGGCCTAGGAGGAAATATTTTAAAATCAAAATCGAGCGTTCTCTTCCATCTACATTATTTTAAGATAATTTGGTAAAACTACATTTATTGTTGATACGATCTATTATTATTACATTTTAACCCATTATTTTGTCCATTATTACATAACAGTGGCAGTGAGACTTTTCAATAGACTCCCAATTGAAGTAAAGCAGGCGAACAATGTCCAGTTTAAAAGATTGGTAAGGGAGAGACTCCTGGTGGACCCCCTATTTGACGTAGAAAAAAAAAAAATTTATGAGGGAACCTTGGAGAGGAGCCATCCACAATCCAAGATAGCCTAGACATGAATTGACACAACCTATCCAGATCATCTGGTTATCGGCGACGCAGTGGTAATTAAGTAGGTAATTAACATATTGATTTTCCTACGATTTATTCTTGGTAAAAAATACCCCCGCCGCAGCAAACCTGCAGACTAAGCGAATTTCCATTTGCCTGATTGGATTTACACTAAAATGTCTACTTAAAAATATCACATTTATACCCTATTTAAATAGAATCAGTTTAACACATACTTAGGTTTGCTGCAACAGGAAGGGTAAAAGTGTTTTTTCTATGTAAAATGTTAATAGTTAGTAAGAAATAAAAACATTTTCCAAATTTGGGCAAAAAATGTTAATAAACAAGCAAACTACAACAGTATACTTATTCTCCATAAGAATAATGGGAATTTTAAATTTAAAATTTTTTGAAATTTTCTCCGTAACCATTAGGTGCATTATAACATTTCAATATACTAAATTATTTGTTTTATTAAGCTCTACAAAATAGTTTGGAAAGAAATTGCAAAATTTTATGTTTTTTGAGTCAAAAGTGGGAAAAACCCATTTTTACCCCATAAAACCCCCCATAAACCCCCGTTCCCATGGTCCGATCATGCTGGTTCGCGAACTCGTTCGAATAAACGTAGGTTTACACGTTTGTACCAAATTTAATCAAAATCGGATCGTTTTTTGCTTGAGTTATCGCGCTAACGGACACATATATAAATATATATATATATATGAATTTGAAAGGATGGTGTTTTTGGCCTCTAGGGACCTCAAAACAAAAAAAAAATCGGTCCCGGGTCCAGGTCTTACCATGTGTACTACGGTAATAGCTTATTCCCTATATGGGAAATTCGCTAAAAACAACAACAACGGCGACAGCTAGGACACACACAGTAATCAAACAATCTAGTCTCAAGCTCAAGAAGCTAGCATAACTTATTTAGAACGGTATAGCCTAGCCTAATTTGTCCTACATCTATACTGGGTGTTCGGTCATAAGTGTTAAATAAAACTATGATAATGGTGATTTAACGATGCCTATTTGAGGTTCCCAACTCAAAAAGGTAAGAGAATAAAAGATAATCAGATTTTTTAAATAACAAAATATTGGTAATTTTTATGAAAAAACTTATCTGTAGGCCTATTAGGCTACTATGTAAAAATGACATTGTTACCGGTAAAATGTTTTAAAAACATGTATGGTCATGTTTTTAAAATCCTCACAAATTTCCAATAAGAATAATACGTACACATTGGGGTGTTGAATAGGATCCTACCATTAAGGGGAGTCCGAGGTCCTATCTTTAGTAATGTTAACTAAATGTCACTTTTCTCAGGAGTTAGAACAGGTAGGATAGTGAAACTGGGTATACTTTTATATGAACTAATTAACTTGTGACAGACACAAGATTTTTCATTTAAAATTAAAAATAACTATTTTATGGGTTTTTATACATTTAAAATAATTTGTTTCAAAAATAAAATTTATTATTCTTTTTACATGCTTCTACTAAAGATATGATGAATTCCTTATGTCTGTGTTTAGATTAAGTCACCAAGACTACATGGTAAAAATTTCACAGCGGTATGTATTACCAGTCCTGAAAAAAATGACATTTAATAAAAAAAAAGTAAAGTTGCGGTAATCGGCAAGACAAGCCTCCAAGGGTCTACTAGTTTTACCTTTAAAACGTCACTGCAATGTTATGGAAAATAAATTTTTTATACATTTCTAGGTTAGTAATCAAAAATGTAAGTAGGCCTATACCAATTTTAAGAAGAAATTCTGTGCTATAAAAAGAACATAAGAAGTAAAAATTGAAAAAATTTGACTTTGACTTCCCTTAATCCATTTCTCACTTCACATTATTTAGTCTACCTTGCATGCCTAATCCTCAATCATTGTAAATGCCATCTGTTTGCATATTTTATACATATATATTGTAAAATGATATATGTCACTATGCATCAAGTCGTCAAGACATACAAGACTACAAGACTACAAGATCGCGCCACTCATCCTACACTCACCATTCACTCATATTTGGGTTAAAATACGCACATAGTGGCGTCCCCATCTTAAATATAATTGATAATTGATTGATGATTAATTGATGGCAATAAAAACATAAAATCACTTATTTACACATAAGTTATATAACATACAATTCCCATATAATTAAAACTGAGGCTGTGGACAGGCATACTTCAGCCTTGGCATAATAGAGGGTCTTCAGCGAGTAGTAGGCTTTGTCTTTGAGATACGCTGTAACCATCTTAAGGAGTTTCCTTTTTTCAAGGTGCAGGATGGAGTTATGCAACTTATTATATATTTATGGCTCCATTACTCTGGGTCCTTGACAGCCTAACTCTAGGGACATCTAGTCGGGTACGAAATGTTAGGTTGGGTTAGAGCAGTTTCACGAGTTAGGCTACCGGTATCTTACCTATTTTAAATCTGGTAACTTACTAAGTTTTTGTTTACATGTCATGTGGTTTTATTTGTTTGAACCACTGTATGGACCTTAAATTCATATTCTTTTATTTTTTTTTACACAACTAGGACTCTTTCCGACTAAACCTGATTGCATAGGCCTATACTTATTCAGATTTTGCATAGGCCTACATAAAAACTGTAACTACAGTCCATGAGGCAGGTGAAGGACTCCCCTTACAGCCCTTACACACACATATGGGTCACGCGATGTGGGGTAGGTAAGACCCTGCTGGCGAGTGTAGGCTACGTGCGTTGGTGGAAGGGACGTTAACCCCTCAGAGTCCTTCGCCAACCTCATGGACTATAGATAATAAAAATACATTTTTAATAGGTGAAAATATAGGACCCTATTTAACTTCATAAGTAATTTTATTGATAAGTTAAATTAGTCATATCAATACCCATATTTCAATACCAATACCGGTACCTATATCCTTTCAAACAACAAATGTTATAAAAAACACATTATTAATATATTGCAGGATGATTGTAACGAGGAAATAAGTAAATTGGCTTATCCAGTTTGCTGTCAATTTGCTAGGCCTATTCATCCAGGGCTCCAAAATTATTGTCACATAGCATCAGAAGTCTCCTTGAGGATAAAGACTGTTCTCATTGATAGTTATTTACACAACAAAATCAACACAGGTAATCTAAGCATGAATTCAGATCCACCCAATTTACACATTCAGTAAATCTACAAGAAATAGGTTGATTTAACATACCTTAATCAGTTCAAATCTTGATGAAACACCAAATCAGGTATGGTGGACATAACCAAAGCCACAGTTGAACGCTGACGATCTTCCAATAAGATAAATGAAACGCTAAATAAAATATTATAATAATGAGTTTACAAATTATTGAAAGTTTTATTATCCCTACTGCAACTCTAAATAAATGGAAAGATTGAAATCAAGATTAGAAGTACCCAGTACCAAACACTAACAATTTATTGTTGACAAACAATTCTGGACAAGACAGGAAAAATAAGGCGGGTGAAAAGCAGAATAGCGTCACTTGTCAGGGACACCAACATTGAAGGTTTTTAAATATATTAGAAGCATCAAACGGTACAGTATTTTATGTATTTTCCCAGTGACAAGAACTTGAATATTTAATTATTAAATTTAGTTACCTTAAGCCTTTGTCCTTGCAGGATGAAGTTATATTTCTCCAATTAAAAACGTATAATATTATGTTGCATAGCTATTGCAAAAATGAAATAATACAAATAATAGGTGTTCATGCTTTTTCCTACAGTCACCCGACAAAGTTGGCTTCCTTGTACTGTTTATAGTACAGAAAGCTGCATATTTATACTTTTCCTACAGTTACCTAACAATGTACATGTTCTCTCTCTGATTTGAGAAAGCAAAGTGGCCAATTTGCTCACCAGTGCTAATTACATTGTCTCACTCCAGATTTGCAACATGAAGGCACGAAATAGTGAGCGCGTAACTTGCAGACAAGATCGTATGCGCGCGAAATACGTTGGCAGCACTGGCTGTAAATCAGCTGGTCAGCTGTTGTATCATTAAATGTCATATTGAAAATTCACTTCTGAGTAAAAATATGTTACGTTTCTTTACCAATTTATTTGTTTATGGTAACTGTAGGAAAATTATAATGTGCAACTCGGGTGCAAAGTGCAATTGACTCACTCGAGAGAAATACTAGTTGTACAAATAACTATTTTCGTACGGTTTATACTTTGGCGCACATCAGGATTCCAACGAAACAACTTAAAACAGTGTGGTTCTATTATGCACTATATCCGTGTACGCTTGGAAATAGGCTGGCAAAACTTAAAGATAATAATATCATGAGCAGCTGATTGAGTATTATAACTACGATTTAAACTGTCATTTCGTGTCTATAGTTTATGTGCTCTTTTCGGTATTTCTGAACTTTCTGGACTTTTCTTTTAAACGTTTTTAAAACATTCCTACGATTTTAATAAACAAGGAAATACCTTTAAAGCATTTTTTAGGTGCGGAAACCACTGCAAATTACAAAAATATACGGAACTATTTTCTCAAGTCGCGGAGCACATTGCTTGCCGAGGAAAAAATTGCGGAGTGATACGGACGGGGGACTACTTTCTCTAGGGCACCTATTTGTGTTGCCAGCTGAACCTAAAGACGTGTTGTATAGTGTTTGAAAGATTAATTTTGTATATGCTTTTTAGTGACTGTAGGAAAAATATAATGTGTAACACGAATGCAAAAGGCCTTTGCTGCACTCGAGATCATTCCGCACTCGCCTGCGGCTCGTGCGTAAACTTTGCTAACTAGTGTTACACAAATAACTATTGCTTTTTTAGGGAGAGGAGGGAAAATGCTTTTACGCACACAGGTAGCCAGCCTTTATCACAGACTGCTCTATATAAAAATCCTCTACTCTGTTGGACACAGACCTGGAATTGTTTGTCACATTACTTCAAGTCAGGCCAACATGTGACCTAAGCCCTTGAGGGCTCTCGCCGTTTCTGGCATTTAGACTATTTATGACCTACACCACATACCGGTCAAGGTCAAGATTCTTGGCGCGGATAATACCCTTGATGTAATGTGACACACCCAGGTCAAACTGTCCTCACCATCTGTCATCATCGGTATGACCGGATCCACTGACAGCAGTCCTACTAACTGTCGAGCCTCCTGGCGGGGCCTTTCCCAACGCTGGGAGTGGAAAAAGGTATGTTTCATGTCACCGGGAATGCCTGGGCAGTATATGCAATCGGATGACATGGCTTTGCCCATCCTGAACAGGTACGACCGGAAAAAGTCAACAATCGTCAGAAATTGGGTGAGGTATAGAAGTCCACCTCTCCGCACCACCGATTAACCCACCCATGTAGCACAGATGGTTGGGCCAACGTTGGTAAGTTGTGGAGCCACACAGTTGGCCAACGGTAGAAATGTCACCTCTTTAAACTGTTTTCCAGCCAACCTTTGTCCAACAATGGCCCAACCAAAATGATTTCACACAAAATAATAAAGATTTAGTACGAAAAGCATAATTATTAGTTGAGTAAATTGATTAAATAGTTCATAAAAACAAATTTTGAAAAAAAGCTGGAACAAAATTTTTTGGCCCAGACGGGTCTCGAACCCGGGTCCTTCGACTTTTGAGCCTCTTACCTTACCACTGAGCTATCTGTGATTGTTGATACAGAGAGTTTTCAAGTGGTGAAAGAGTAGCCGACAGTTGCAATGGTCGCAATACTTCAAACATTTTTGATACTACACAGTATAATATGATTCTGTTAATCTGTTAAGGCATCATAAGTAGTTATTTTTTTTTTTTGGAGTTAGAGAGGATACTGGTATTTGAATATAGATTAATTAATTACCGTTAGATTATTAATGCTATTATAATTGACTGTTATATGATTAATTACTATTTCCCCTTAAATTGTTGCAAATAAGTTAAAGAATATTAATTTTAAAAATATTTGCATTATTATAATTATTAAAATTCATTGTTGTAGCCCCGGAACTGTAATATGTAAAATATCTGGTTTTACAATACCTTTATCAGTTCCAAAAACTTTTGGAAACTTTTGGAACTGATAAAGGTATTGTAAAACCAGATATTTTATTATAATTATGTTGTGAAAGCTAGACCCAGAGAATGAAAGTCGTGTAAACTCAACTATGGACCATCGTTGGTCCAACAAAAGTATCTTTTGTTGGTCCAACGGAGTGAAAAACGGTTGGACAACGGTTGGCTTGATGTATGATACCCAACAATGCATATTAATGTATTTCATTAACAATGAACCGATGTTGGTCCACAGTTGTAAATATTGGTTGGCCCAACTACGAGATATACAGTTGGACAACGGTTGGTTGGTTGTGGAAGCTCCAACCAACCATCGACCAACTGTCCCACAGTTGGCCAACGTTGGCCCAACCATCTGTGCTACATGGGCAAGGTTTTACTTGCTGTATCAGTCGCTTGGCCCAGCGTCCCCGTGTCTCCCGTTCTCTCCTGTCACTGCTGGTAGGTGCGGGTACATTCCTCTGTTCGGGCCTGGTCCTCCCCACGGCGCTGATAAATTGCCTTTCTCTCCGTCACCAAAAGTTTGACGGGGATGACTCCATAGCAACCACCAGGACGGTGGGTTCGGACACTGTTCGGTAGGCGGATGCTACTCTTAGTGCTGCCTGACGCTGCACTCGGGTGAGCCGCATCATATATACCTCCTTATTGAGTACGTCTGCCCACACCTCCACACCGTACAAGAGTACGGACTGGGCAGAAGGCAGAAGACATTGACATTGGACATTGGCCATCAACTGGTTAAGGATAGGAAACCAAACTAGCGGCCTTGTCCTTGTCCGCCGTACGGAAAATCTGACCCCGCCAGCTAAGCTTGCTGTCTACCATAACCCCAAGGTACCTACTTGGCAGTACGAACGGTCTGGACTTCGACGGTCCCCACCCTCAATGGGGGGCATGATGGTGTCAATCCGTTTTTTGTGTTAATATCACGATCTCATCATCTAATATCATCCATGCGTTTATGGTACGCAAAACTTGGTTCAGATTTAGCTAAGGCAGCTCAGCTACGTGCAGCTATCAATGCTGCAACGTCGTCTGCGTACCCAACCAAAACAGTTTCTTCAGGCATTTCAGACCTCAGAAGGCTGTCATATTAGCTACATTCCAAAGGTCTGGGCCGAGTATGGAACCTTGGGCAGCAGCGGAAGTGACACTCATCATCGGTGTTCATGCTTGTTGATCATTAGTAAAATAATATTAAGAATTCTCGAAGCATTCATAATTCTAGTTAACTGAAACTGTTACTAAATTCTTATACTCTTTCAAAATTATATGTAAGTTACGTACAATATTGACCTTCGTTCTCTCAATTTGTGACTTTCATATATTTTTGATTTCATATATATTATCGATACAGCACAATCATTTTTGATTCTCTTAGGATAACTTCAATAGCTTAACCTAGGTCCTCTTTGAGTCTCTAATTAGTGTAACACCGCATCCTCCAAAGCATAAGCGTGGAGCAAGAGCCAAAGATTAACTTCAGCTTCTATATTTTTGGTGCTTTTCAAGGTTTTCCTCCTCCTCCTATAACCTCTATAGAAATACAAAGTACAATTAATTGGGGAAAGTCCATCTCCTTGTCGGTTTGTTTTTACAAACGAGTTACAACTCATAAAGGAGTAATTGGTTTCTGAACCCAGACAGCACACTTCATCCCAGGGACATCCCATAGTATTCCCATATGTCCTGAGAATGTCCCGGGATATGTACGCTATCCTCAGGATATCCCGCAAAATCCCGGGACGAGTAAGAAATCCACAGGATATCCTACAATATACCGTAATGTCCCGGGATTTGTAAGTTAACCTCAGGATATCCTGTAAAGTCCCGGGATATGTACGAATGCCATAGGATATCCCAGAATGTCCCATGAAATCCCGGGACATGTACAAAATCCACTGGATATCCTGTAATGTCCCGTAATGTCCTGGTAACAAACTGAAGAAAAAAATACTACCACTGATGAAATGTATATCTAAATTTAAATGTTCAACAATGCCAATATATAATAATTTGTTTTTTTCACTAGCGTTTTCAGAAGCTTGGTTTCCATCTTCAGGCTGTGTTTACACTAGTACAAAAAGTAAATATTTACTTTTTTTTTAACTTTATTTAATTTACAATCTGTTCAAGTTGAACAATAAGCAAATGATATAAATAGTAATACAAAAATAACTTGAAGAACATGAGCTAGTGATTGACCACCGTCAACACTAGCAAACAAAGAGAATTTTGATAACACTTAGCCGAATCTGAATGGTAGGTCCAATATCGTATGTCGCTTCAGTCTGTAAATGGTGTTGTGATTGTCCAATAAATTAAGTGCAAGATGATTTGAATGATTTTCCAATTTTATAATGTA